CACACACCCCAAACGCACACCCCAGGCCAGGCCATTTCAGTAGTCTGCTATCTGTTTCCATAGCCCAGGGTAATTTCCAGCCAAGACAAACGTGCCCGCTCAAAAAGAGGTTGGTCCCCTCCCTCTGACCTCTAGGGCATGAACCAAGACCCATTTTGCCATCACCGGCCACTTCCCTGGAGGAATGGAAACAGGAAACTTCTCAAGGGCTACTGAGGTGTAGAGACGAGCACGGGCAGATGCTGCGGTGGTTCCCAGCCTGAAGGGCAAAGTAAGTGATATCATAATACTAAACACTGCCACGGCGCATGCGCCAGGCTCCGTCCCGTCAATCGCCACAGCTCCGTGAGGTGCGCTCCCTTATTACTCCGGCTTCACGAAGGAGAAAACGGAGGCACACGGAAGTGATGAAACTAGCCAAGGCCACTCCGCAGACGACAGGCCGGGGTTCAAACCTGGTAATCTGGCTCCAGTTTGTGCTTTCAGGAAAAAACTGATATCTGGCAATTTTTAACGAGTTATCAGGACTGGCAACTGGGGAATTAATGGAAAGGGGAATCAACGAAACGGTCCACACCTTAGGAACAGTGCTGATTCACCAAGGGAGCCTGACGTCCCAGGAAAGACAGGACCGGTGACAGGCCGGCGACGGCCCCGCCCAGACCGGCTCCGACCCTCCGCCACCGCTCCGGGAGGTCAGGGGCTCCGAGGCTCCGCCCACGCCGCGGCATCCTAATTGGGCCCCTTCCTGTGACGCAAAATGTCGGCGTCCAGAAGGAGGCGGGACTTCCTGGATGGCGAGCCAATTCCGGGCGCACCGGAAATGTCTATTGAGGAAAGGATGAAAGATGTCTGCCGCCTGAAGCTCCAGGCCAACCTTTGAGTTCTACAGACTCGGAAGCAAACTTGCGCGGAGATTCACCCGCTGATTGCCAAGTTTGCGGGTGGTGGAAAGCAGGAGTTGGGACATGGACAGCCGATTGCAGGAGATTCGGGAGCGGCAGAAGCTACGGCGACAGCTCCTTGCACAGCAGGTAAGCAGCCCGGGGCGGGATCGCGAACGCGCGTGCGCGCCCGACCTGCTCTGCCCTCTGCGGACCGGCTCCCTCGACGCGGATCTCTGAGCCTACCTACCCTTCGTGTTCTTAATTCCCGCGGTGCACCTCATATTTTCTGTTTCGTGTCGCCGTCGTGGTGGTGGTACTAAAGCGAGCACCATGACTGGTTTTCAGCCACCTTTATGGAACCCAGACCTAGTGCTGGGCCAGTGCTCAATGACAGGGACACAAAGCTTTGGTCTTTGTGAATACATTGCCATAGTTCACGCAAGGAAGAAGAGTGACTTGTCACCCCCTAAATTTCTCGAAGCTATGTAAGTGGTCTTGCCTTTCCTCGTAGTCAGTGCCCAATTCTTGAGATTGTGGCTTCATTGTAAAAAAGGTTTACAGAGTTTTCTTTGGGATTATATCTAAAAGCTGCATTGAAAGTAGCCTGAGTGTAAGTTTTAGATTCTGCATCTTGTGTATGGCAGTCCACAGTGCAATGTACAGTATCCCCGTCTTCATCCACAGCTAACATTTGAATTCATATTTTGTATGTTACAACAAACCGCTGATATAAGTAGTAGTATTTTTATTTTCACTTGATAACGAAACAGGCTCTAGAGGTAAAGGAATTTTGGCTCTGGGTCAGTCACTGTTAGGTCAGAAAATTGAAGCCAGGTTTGTTTCTCTAAAGTTTTTCTTCACTGCTTGTGTGCGAGTGTGTGAGTTAACACTTGCTGATCAGTAGGGAACACGTGCAGAAAATGCCAGTGGTGCGTATCTCTACTTGACCCCAGAGGCAGTGTTTTACATCCCACCTTCCAGATCAGTAAACATGATGGAAAGGCTCACGGACTTTAATGAGGCATCTTACTGTTATTTTTTCAGTGATAAATCTTGGTTTTAGCTAAGGGAAATCTGAAACCTATCCTCTTATTACCTAATGAAAACATGGGATAGTATTAAAAATGTGGGGATTGGAAAAAGATCTGTTCCTGTCGCTGTGGTCTTATGATCTTGGATTAATCAGGCATCTTTTCTAAGCCTTCTTTTCCCCAACTTCTTTTATCATGTTATCTTCAAGTAGCTTCTTGTTGCCATCAAGCAAAGTTCTTGCACTTTAGTTTGAATTCAAACTCTGTTTGACTCAAAATGCATTACAGAACGATTATTTGTTGAGTGTCTTACTATGTGCCAGGTGCTAGCAGGCACTGCAATTCAACTATGAATACCAGGTAGCCCCTACCTCAAAGAGCGTACATAGTACGTCAAATCTGATAATGGCTGCCGTTTATCAAACCCCTTCTGTGTGTCAGACTCTGCTAAGCTTTCGATGTACATTACTTCGATCATTACAGTTGTTAAGGAATTAGTAAAATTCAGAATTGTGCCTATAATCATAAAGACTTGGCTTGAGTAAAACTTAATAGCTTTTCCTCATAGCATGAGCTAAAATAAGGTGTGATGTGTGAGTCGAAGGATGCAAAGTGTTTAGTAGTGCCCACTACACTACAAACACTGTTAGCTGCCTTTTTATGGTGATTGCAACTGCTACTAAATCATGCTTTATTATTTACTTTAAAAGATTAGCAAAGGTAAGTGTCTTAATTTCAAATGTAACTAAAAGCGTAAGTGCTTTTTAGTTGTCAAATCATTCTTAATTAACATGGTTTTTGTTCCAAGGTATTTCCAGCTTCTCCTGCAAGCTCTTAGTAAATCCATTTGTCTGCTGAGGTTCTTAGAGCCATTGTGTTTGGGTTTTCTTAATTCTTGATATATTAAATGTGGCTACAAATAGCCAGAAAGGCTATGCAGTGCCTTGTGATCTAAGTTATGACTTTTGCTTTATTTCAGCTGGGCGCCGAAAATGCTGACAGCATTGGTGCTGTGTTAAATAGCAAAGATGAGCAGAGAGAAATTGCTGAAACAAGAGAAACTTGCAGGTCAGTTGAGTAGTGTTTTTTTTTTGGTTTTTTTTTTGTTTGTTTGTTTGTTTTAGTAACATGCTAATATTGTGAAAGTACCATTGTTTTAATAAATAATCCTAGGTATAAAGTGTATTCTTATGAAAAGCCATCAAAATAAAGATTTCAGAAACACTAGTTTTTATTGATCGTGAATTATGAAATGTTTACTTTCTGAATATAGTAAGTTCTCATAAAGTAGTTAGGAAATGAAATGTTAGACTAAGAATTGAATGTTAGACTAAATAATTGTATTTTTAAGATTATTATGAAATAGACTTTATACTAAAAGTGTTAATCATTTAATAGTTCACAAAGCTTGTCAGAATTTTTCAGTATTCTAGTGATCAATTTGAGCATTGGTTTTGCTCAAAACAGAATTAGAATATGTAATATAGTAGTTTCTTTTTGCCATCCATCCCTTATAACAAAAGCTTATATTCTCATTTGGTTACTTTCCCATAAAAATAAAGTCCAGAATTATCAATTGGGTTGTGTGGCTTTTTAGACGATTCATAAACTGGGTGAATAGATACTGTTTAATCAGGAAAATTTTCCCATATTCTGTTTTTATTATTTGTTATTTAATATTAGTAGATGTGTTTATACATCTTGTGGATGTTTGCGTGTGATACTTCAGTTTTAATTTTCAGAGCTTCCTATGACACCTCTGCTCCAAATGCAAAACGTAAGTATCAGGATGAAGGAGAGACAGATGAAGACAAGATGGAAGAATATAAGGTAAGTGGAGATAGGCAGTTTTATGGTCAGAAAAAAGTAAATCCTTACAATAATTCTTATCCAAGAAAACAGATTAGACAGAAACTGAATAATAAAGTGTTCAAAATAATTATCATATATATAGTATACATATGTATAACTGAGCATATGTATGATCAGTTCATAAGACCTGTATACCAGTTTCCTCATTTTAACAGAAGACTTGTGTGGATTAAATTAAGTGATATACATAAGCACTTAGCATGATGCCTGGTAAGCATTAGGGGATAATATTCTTGAATGAAAGGAAGGAGGTAAGTGTAGCAGAAAAATTGGGTAATTGGATTAGGAAAGGCTACAGTGCTGTCTTTTGTGTTATGTTATTCAGTGTTAATACAGGGCAGAACAGTTAAAATATTTTGAAAATTCATGGGCTAGATAGATAGCATTGTAGAACCATTTCTGAAAGAGGCCCAAGAAAAACCTAATTTTTAAACTTATAATTGCAACATTTAGTTCAAGGTATTATGATGAAAAACCTATCTCTATTTTTTTTAAGTTCATTATTGATATACAACTATATTTAATAGAGAAGAGAATGCATAGTTTCAGTAAATCTCTAGGTAGTTCAGTGATATAATTACCTAATCTTATGGATACTATCTTGTGTGTTGCATTTTAATTATGTTAACATGTAACTTAAATATTTGCGATTGTTTTAGGTCAAACCATATGTACAATAATTCCCAATGTTACGACATTTTTGACATATAAAAAGTTTCATATGGTTCAATGCAGTAGAAATAAAATTGGCCATTGGTGGTTACATCTTTTGATTCAAGCTAGAGTCTAAAATTTATAATATTATATTTGAGATTAAATAATTCCAGGCAATTTGGTCAGAACAAAATAGTATTATAGAGTATTTAATATTGACAAAAATGAAAAGAAAATTTTTGTTTTATTACAGATAATCAACTAGTTAAATCTAATGATGAAAAAGCAAACATTTTAATGTTTGACTTTAATGTTAATTTGAAAAGTTTATTATCCACTAAGGAAATAAAATATTTATGTTTAACCTGAATCAAGATATAATACAGAAACTATTCCTCCTGTAATAAAATGTCTACTTAATCTTCCTTTTCCAAGGATGAACTAGAAATGCAACAGGAGGAAGAGAATTTGCCATATGAAGAAGAGATTTATAAAGATTCTAGTACTTTTCTTAAGGTAAATAACTTTCAAATCTTACAACTCATCACATTTCAGCTCTGTACCTGAAAATATTTTTAAATACCTGTTTGTTTTCAAAATTTTTTTAGTTATTAAGGAATCATTTTAAAATCAAGATAATTTAAAATTATTCATGAAATTGTCTTCTGATACTTGACTATTTCGAATGAGTAAACACCGTTAATGTCTATAGCTACTGAAGAATAATTAGTTGTGGTGTTTTCAAATATTAATTTTTTAATCTGTCAATCAGCTTATATTTTGTATGGCCTTGTGGTAAAAGACAAAGAACAGAATTAATGTATCAGAGTGCATGCTATTTAATTTAATTTTGGTTTTTCTTTAGGGAACGCAAAGCTTAAACCCCCATAATGATTACTGCCAACATTTTGTAGATACTGGACATCGACCTCAGAATTTCATCAGGGATGTAGGTATGTCAGATTTGTTGGGAATATGCTATTGCTGCCACTTGATTACGTGCATGTAATGTATTTCTCTTGTGGATTTATTTCTAACCTTTTTCCTGACTTGGTTTAATATTTCTTGCAAAGCAGATCTCCTGACAACAAAGTCCCTCAATTTTTGTCTACGAAAGTCCTGTTTTTTCCCTCACTTTTGAAGGATAATTTTGCAGAGTACAGAAATCTAGGTCGGTGCTTTTTTTTTTTTCTTTCAACACTTTAAATACTTAAGTTTCATCTTGCTTGTGTGATTTCTGAGAAGTCAGACATAATTTTTATCTTTGTTCTTCTGTAGGTACAGTTGTGTTTTTACTGTGGTTTCTTTCAGGATTTTTTATCTTTGATTTTCTGTAGTTTGAAAATTACATTTCTGGGTGTAGTTTTCTTGGCGTTTATCCTATTTGATGTTCTCTGAGCTGCCTCGATCTATGGTTTGGTGTCTGACATTAATTTGGGAAAATTCTCAGTCAGTATTGTTGCAAATATTTCTTCTGTTGTTTTCTCTATTTCTTCTTCTGCTGTTCCCATCACAGGTGTGTGACACCTTTTTGTAGTTGTCTCACAATCCTCGGATATCCTGGGGTTTTTGTGGGGTTTTTTTCCACTTTTTTTTCTCTTTGTTTTTCCGTTTTTGAGATTTCCATTGAAATATCCTCAAGCTCTGAGATTTTTTTTTCCCCTTGGTTGTGTCCACTTTACTATTAATAAGCATTAGTTGGATTTTTGGGGTTTTTTTTTGTTTTGTTTTGTTTTTTTAGTATATCCACAGGTTTGTGCAACCATTACCACAGTCTAATTTTAGAACATTTTCATCTGCCCTAAAGAAACCCTGTGCCCATTAGCAGTCAGCTTCCATTCCTTCCCCCTTCTCTGCCCCTGCCTAAAGTAACCACTGATTGACTTCCTTTCTCCATAGATTTGCCTTTTCTAGACATTTCGTATAAATAGAATCATACGATATGTGATATTTTGTGACTGGCTTCTTTCACTTAGCATAATGTTTTCGAGGGCCATTGGTGGCGTAACATGTATCAGTACTTTCTTCGTATTGCCAAATAATATTCCGTTGTATGTGTGTACCACATTTTGTTTATCCATTCATTTGGGTTGTTTTCATCTTGGGGCTGTTACAAACAATGCTGCTGTGTATGAGGGTTCCAGTTTCTTCACATCCTTGTCACTTACTCTCTGTCGTTTTGATGATGATGTACTAGGTATGAAGTGCTATTTCAGTGTGGTTTTCATATGTCCCCAGTGACTAATGATATTGAGCATCTTTTCATATGCTTATTGGCCATTTAAATAACTTCTTTGGAGAAATGTCCAAACCCTTTGCTTATTTTTTATTTTGTTATCTGTCTTTTTATTATTGTATGGTAAGAATTCTTTATTCTCAGTACAAGTTTCTTATCCGATGCATGATTTGGAATATTTTCTTCCATTCTATGGGTTGTCTTTGCACTTTCTTGGTGGTATCCTTTGCAGCACAGAATTTTTGATACTCAAAGTCCTCCTTATCCCTACATTTGCTGAAACAGGTATTGCACTGTTTTATCTAAAATCTCAGAGATCTAAAATATTTTTGAGGACATGAGAACAATGAGTCTCCTATTTTAAAGTAATCTTTGTGGAATTTTAGATGTTTTTCAAGGTCCTAAGCCTGAAAATATACAAACGAAGATTTGGTTTATAATAATGTAGAGATCTTTATAAATGTTGATGTAGGTAATTACTGTTAGAGAAAGCAGCTTGTCTTGGAATTGGTAGTATCATTTCGATAGGTAATCGGGGTGAGCGAGGTGAGAGCTGGTCTTCTGTTAGGGACTAATTACCTTCTAACTAGACTTTTTCTGGGATTGTGTTCATGAGGCCTAGCCAGTTAATTTAAGATCAGAAGCAGTATTTCTCTTATTCTACTATTCTTTGCCTCTTCCTTTATTTAATTATAAAAGAATAATTTTCACTAGATTCTTTAGGGGACACACACACACACACAAACACAAACATTTTATCTGAAAGAAAACGGGGAAAAGCATGATAGGAAGGCAACTGGATTTTTCTTTCCTGAGAACAGAATGGTTAAATTTGATGTTATGAACAGATTATTTAACTTAATAGATATGAGAAATTAAATGGCTTCATGAGTTGAACTGGGCTTTAGAACATCTGAGTCTTTACCTGCTTATGGGGTTAGAATCCTTAGATATGAAATGTTTAAAAATACTCAAAATTCGCTTTAAAAGGACATGAGAGTAAAGTGACATGTATATATGATTTTCCCGAGAAAGCCCATAACCTTTGAATTCTTTAATATTAACTTCAGTTGTACTGAAATACAGAATTTACTGTTTTTCTCAGGTTTGGCTGACAGATTTGAAGAGTACCCCAAGCTGAGGGAGCTCATCAGGCTGAAGGATGAGTTAATAGCGAAATCAAACACTCCTCCTATGTAAGTGTTTTTAAAAAGACTGTTCTCAACTCAGGCTTAAAATATCAATTTCTTATCCTGTAACCTTTCTGTTTTAAAGTAATTCAATACCTATATAAGGTTAACACAACTTTTATATTTCTTCTTTATAGTAAAATATATTATTTTAAAACTGCAGTGCTGAATACACAGTAGGTTCTCATTTGATTTGTTTTCACCTTTTCCAATAATTGGCCAAAGTATCTTTAAACACTACTCTTATTAGAAAATCATTTGTGTTTATTGTATCTTTGATGTTAACATGTTTTTAAATGACTTTTCTTCTTAAAAAGTAATTTGTTTATTGAAGAAAGTTTAGAAAACTTAGATAAAGGAAAACAAGAAAATGAAAATTATAACTCAGCACACAGGGCTAATAACATTTTTGGATTATGGTAATTAATTTTAACCTTTTCTGAGCAGAATAATGTTTTCCTCAGAAATATGTATAAGGTCTTTGAAATTGGAGAGTGTTTATTTCACATTTACATTACTTTGAACATTTTGTACATTTTAACAATTTGCTGAAATGTATCCTGTTAGTGATTAGAAGAGCCACAAAGAAGTCTGAGTATGTGGGGAAAATACTCGGGGACTTTAATATTCGTCCTATTTAAAAATACTCTTACATTTGAAGTATTTTATATTTAAATATTTTATATTCAAAATACTTTCATACTATATGGAAATAGCCTTTCATTAAAGGCTAGTGATGATTTATACTAGGTGGCTTGAAAAGACTTAATATAAACAAAATTTAGAAACTATTTTTTAGAGGGAAGAATTTAAAATTTACAGTGAAATAGTTTTTCTAACCTAACTAAACAGTTGAGAGAAACTGATGGTCCTTAGAAAATTCAGGTGATAATGGAAAGGGATTCAGGCTTCCATCTGAATATGGCTTCCCAGTGTCAAAGAAGAGACGTCTGTGTTCTGATGGCTGGGGAAATGTGACTTGACTTTGTAGTTTCCTATGTGCATGTCCTCCAGAAGGACCTCGGTAGATGCCCCTCCATGCAGAGGCATTCAGTGATCTGCTCATGATTGCTTTGTAAGTAGCGGTTAGTAACAGTTAAGATTTTGCTTTCATTGCCATCTGTAAGGTATTTGAAAATCTCTCACTCTTTATGCTTTACTCAAATAGGTACTTACAAGCAGATATAGAAGCCTTTGACATCAGAGAGCTAACGCCCAAGTTTGACGTGATTCTCCTAGAACCCCCTTTAGAAGAGTATTACAGAGAGACCGGCATCACTGCCAATGAGAAATGCTGGACGTGGGATGATGTATGGTGACACTTTCTACATTGTCATGAGTTCTGTACTTTTCCAGTGAATATATGTGTATTTGATCAGAAACGAAGATTGTAGATATCAGCCCTCCTTTTCTAGCGGTCCTACCTGTAAATTTAGGTGGAGATGGCGGCTGAAGGCCTAGGGCACAGTAACCGGTATCGCAGTAGCTTTTTGAGGCACACATGGCACTGGCGGTGAGCACACAGGCTGCAGGAGACACACGTGCCGCCGGCCTTAGAGTCTGAATGGACAGCCAGGAAAGTCTAGAGACAGACAGCGATTGAGAGCTCCTTCTGTGTTGGTTGGTTTTAGTAAACATCAGAGTATCAACATAGACATATATGTAAAACTTAGTTTCTACTCTTTGAGGAACTGACAGTATAATGGATAAACAGGAGACATAATTTCAGTATAATGTAATTGTGATAAAGTCACATTTTTCCTAAATAAATTAAGCAGGCTGATTAATTAGTTAAAAGTTACTGTTTTTACAAGTCAATTACAAAAATAACAAATATTAAGTGCTCCTCTGTGCTAGGTAAGGTGCTAGGTACTAGAGATCAAAGCCAGATAAGGTTAGAGTGTCTGGCCTGAAGGAGCACACGGCTGAATGGGACAAACACTGACCTGAACACACAGGAGCGTTCTTGTTCGTTTAGTCATGGAGAACTGTGTAAATGATCTGAGAAAAACGCCCGGGTAGGACGTCGGGGCACGTGAACAGGGAGAAGGAGCGCATGGACAGTATAAATGGATAAGCTGGGATTGGCCAGTGAAGAAGTGGGTGGGACAGGCATTTCAAGCAGAAGGAATAAATTGTGTGTGTGACACACACACACACACACACCTCTCTCCCTC